GCTTCATTACAATTCAAATTTTCCATAATTGCTGCTATAGCAATCAAATAAACATCAATAAAGTATTCCAGGGCAGTTTTATTTTCCAAACAGTATTTGATTCAGTTCAGTTATTAAAGATGAAATACAGATGTTTTAGGGAAATTGTAGAAACACATTTTCAACTCCCAAACAACTCTGCTACAGAGTCAGGGTAGACAAGGGATATTGRAACAAGAAACAGCAGAATTATACTATACATCAGCATCATGACTCTGTCCAGCCGCTGTAAAGAAAAACATGGGGATCTGGCTGTAATCTACTTCACTTTTTCACAGAAACAAAAGAATTCCTTCCCAGAATATGTAGAGGAAGATCACTGGAAATATAGTTATTTATATAAACATCAGCGGAGAATCATTATATACAGTTGTGGGTACATAAATATACTCATAGCTTACTCAATGTGTTCATGCCAAGAACTTGAAGACATCTTCCCCTCCTTAGTATCCCACCTAAAATCTATACACAGATTTGTCCAATTCCCTTTATGCAGAGCTGGGGGTTGATCCACTGCTTGGAGAATGTTAGGTATGCACCCTACCACTGAGCTATACCCCAGCCACTGTTGGAATTGAATACATTTAGAAAACTATTAAAGAAGGCTTACATCTCTTCCATATACATATTTCTGGTTAAACAGAAGAAATGTTGTCCCCTTTCTGCTAGATTTTGGCTCTAGCTCAGTTCCTTGTTGTGTTGGGGACCAACAAGAGAGAGAATACAATGCCTTGTTTAAGTGAAAGTTTGAGTCCTGTTTATATTAAACCTTTCCCTCTGAGATAATTGTAGTTTCTGAGATAGTTGTAGGTATTTAGAGGTTAAATGCAGTTTTAAGAAATAATATCAAAAATTGCTCCGAAGCTTTTAACCCAGTTTCCCTCGAAGGTGATATCTTACTAAACTATAGTACGATTTCGCAACCAGGATTTGGTCAAGATACTGAGCATTTCCATCACCWCATGTTCTTTTGTGTTAMCTTTGCACAGTTACAACCACCTCTGTTGTTCTCTACCTTCCTCCCTGGCAACCCCTAATCTAGCCTTCATTCCTATAATTTTGCACTTCAAAATGTTCCACGAATGGAATTACATAGTATATAAACTGTTAAGATTGGCTTTTCTCTTTCAGCATAGTTCTCTGGAGATTCATCCAAGTTACTGCCTGTTTTGGTAGTTAGCTCCTTTTTACTGTTGAGTAGTTTTCCATGCAATGGATGTATCACAATTTGTTTTAACAGCCACCAGATTAAATGACAGCTGATTATTTCCAGTTCTTTAATATTATGAATAATCCATGTGCAAGTTATTCTATGAAAACAAGTATTCATTCCTCTGGCATAAATGCCTCGGTGTGYAATTGCTGGTTGGCATGGCCATTACACATCTAGTCAGGAAAYAGCCACATGGTTTCCCAAAGTGGTTATTCTATTTTCTGTTCCCAGCAGCAGTGGATGACTGATCTAGTTTCCTGGCAGGTATGCTTGCCAACGTTTGATGTTCTCATTACCTTTTATTTTGGCAGACTTGGTAGGTGCGTAGTGATACCTCATTGTGGTTTTAGTTTGTTGTTCCCTAATGACTAATGATGTATGTGTTTATTTGCCGTTTGTAGATCCTCTGCAGTGAAATGGTCCATTATAATCATTTTCTAATTGGAGTTTTGAAGCTCTTGGGTTTTGAGAGTTCTTTACGTATTCTAGATACTAGTCTTTTGTCAGATATGTGGTTTGCYGATATTTGCTCTCAGTATATAGCCTGCCTTCCATCTTCTTAACATGGTCTTTTGCAGAACAAATCTTTTAAATTTTGATAAGKTCTAATTTATCAAATTTTCCTTTTGTAGATTTTGGTGTCAGGTCAAAAAACCCTTTGCTTAGTCATTGATTCAAAAGACTTTATATTTCTTTCTATAGTTTTATAGTTTCACATTTTATATTTACAGATACAATCTCTTTTGAGTTAATTTTTGTAGAAGGTATGAAATTTAGTCCAAGGTTCATTTTATTTTCTCATGGATTTCCTGTTGCTCTGGTATATTTATTGAAAAGATTATCCTCCTCATGTTGAATTAATTCTGTATCTTTATTAAAAATTAGTTCAGCATATTTGTGTGGGACTATTTCTAGATTCACTGTTCTGTTCTATTCACCTATGTGTTTAAGCCTCTACCAATCACACACCATCTTAAGTACTATTGCTGTGTAATAAATTTTTCCATTGGATAGAGTGATTTATCCTGCTTTGTTCTTTTACAAGATTGTTTCAGCTATCTCAAAGCCTGAAAACTTTTAGAAAAAGTTTGCATGTCTACAAAAACCTTTCGGGGGTTTTGATAATAATTACATTAAACCAAGAGATCAGTTTGGGAGAGTTGGCATCTTTACTATTTTGTGTCTTCAAATCCATGAAAAAAAAAATATATATATATCTGACCCACAGACAGATAGTCCTCCACCCTCACCCTGTACACAGTTTTGAGGCTGTGTGGTGCATATTCAACCCCTTTGTGGTTGCAATAAGCTTTGATCCAAGACACTTCATTTATTTAAGTCATTGATTTCTTTCAGCATTCAAATTCTGTACATGTTTTGTTAAGTTTTATACCAAGTATAATTTAATTTTCTTTGAAGTGGCAGTAAGTGGTATTGTGATTATAGTTTTGATTTCCACATGTTCATGTGCTGATCTTGTATCCTGGGACCTTACTTCACTCACTAGTCCCAGGTGGTTTTATTATTATTATTATTATTATTATTTAAGAAGTAGATCATTTGAAATTTTCTATGTAAACAATCATGTCATCTGTAAATAGGAATACTTTTAATTTTTTTAACCAATCCATATTCATTTTATTTTGTTTTCCTTGCCTTACTATGTCTAAAACTTCCAGTATAGTCTTTTTTTCCTTTTCACTGCTGGAGATTGAACCCAGRACTTCACATGTACTAGGCAAGCACTCTTCACTGAACTACCTTCAGCTCCCCAATATAGTCTTAAAATTTTTAATCAGCATACATTTTTTGAGATTTTTCTGAAACGTAATTCCCTGAATGGAGCCCATCCAACTCAAACTTGTGAATTTTCAAGATTATTCTGATTGTTCAGATTTTGTTTTGTGCAATTTGGATAAATACCTGACAACCTTTACCCGTGGTTATAAATGGAACCCATTCTGCAAAACCCTCTGAAGCATCAGGGACCCTGAATGAGCCAAATGGAACTGAATATCAAAGTAAATCTAACGTAGGTATATTATCTCAAGACAGGACAGGGAGGGAGTAATGTTCCAAGAATTAAGGTTTGAGGTTAACTTATGGAGTACTTTTGAGTAMGTGGCTTGTTCTTCTAGTTTCTCTCCCCAATCTTTCCTTAAAATTAGGGTAGCAGTAACTTTAAACTCTGAAAATATGAAATACCCTGAAAAAAATATCTTATTTTTATGTACTAGAAATTACCACTGCTAGGAACTCTTTTGAGAATTGGCTTATGACAAAAAAGAATCGTGTGCGTGTTACTATGTTTTTGGTAACAGGCACTTRAAATATGTTTTTGGCAACTCAAGCCTTCATGTCTTATTTTGTAAAGCAAAAGCAAAAACCACTAATAACATTTTCTTTAAGAATTTTCTATACATAATGATGGTTGTTATGTAATAGAGCATACCAAACCCACTGTAGAGAGTCATAATTATTATAGAAAAATAGAAAACTTGGATTGTACCAGATTCTTTATAGATTTCAATTGTAAGAGATCTTAGGTGTGTACACATCGGTCCATGCAGGATGTGTACTCAAATTTCAGAGACCTCTCCCCTTTTTTTTTTTAAATCCTGAAAGCAGTGACAAATCATCTCCAGACAAATCAGTCACTGTCTTTCATACTCCCTTTAAGGATTTTCAGCAACTAAGCATTTTAGTAACTTTTTGTTCTTAAAATCGAAAGCACTCATCCATTCTGCGCAGGGAGTTCAGGAGTCTGACCTTGAATATTGACTTGGCCATGCAGAGCCTCAGTTTCCTTGTCTGGAAGTGGCAATGAGGACATACCCTCATTGGTTGTGGGGCTTCAATGAGATGACCTCTGGAAAGCACCCTCAGTTACTGACCTCTTTCATCCTCCTTTCAGGCTCTGTCTTTGCTTGCTTCACAGCCTCACCTTTCTCCCTTTTCCTCTCTACAAYCCACGGCATGAGGTGCTTCTTATTTTGGATGCCATTCCTCATGCATGCGAGCGGGGAATTCTCTATAAAAAATGTGAGCAGCTGGGATCTAAGAAGCTTGAAGCCAAATCTACCCCATTCTTTTCAGTGTTCTACCAACATCTGCTTCTACACAATGGGCCTGTGCTGCAGACTCTGCCCGTTCTTACATTGCTGATCACGTTAGAGGGGGGAAGAGTCCATAAGTGATTATAAGTGACTTTGGTTACAATCTAGCCAATGTGACTCAATGGTGTATTTGCAATCCAGGAGCATGATGAGTGACCCACAGACAGAAAGTCCTCCACCCTCACCTTGTACACAGTTTTGAGGCTGTGTGGTGCATATTCAACCCCTTTGTGGTGGCAATAAGCTTTGATCCAAGACACTGCATTTGGCACAGAAAACAACAAAAACAGTCTCACGATACAGAGCAATCATATTGTACACACAGGCATAATTTTTTTTTCCCTAAAGAATGGACCAGTAAAGGTCTCAGTGTGCCGTTTTGACAACCAAGAGGTGAGTCTGGATTGAACGCAATGGAAACGAAGACGATCTCTGTGAAGTACCTGTGAAAGTGGAGGATCTTCAAATGACCCCTTGAGTCTCAAGTCGCGCACAAGGCTCCCTCTTCATCCTCTCGTTCTGCTGTAGGTGACAGGGCACCATGAAGCCTTCAACAAAGAGACAGCGTTCAAGAGCTGTCACGTAAAAGGTTTTCACCGTAATGCAAACAGCAGGGACTTCCTTCCATTGCATCAGGCCTTTCTAGGAACGGCTTTGAAATATTCCTCCTTTGAAATGTCAGATACACCTCCATACCATTTCTGAAGCCAGATATATTCTATTCTCATCTTCATGAAGAACCACTCATACTGACGRGGCCACTTCCTCATCCCTGGGTGCCTGAAGGAGCAAAGAGAGATCACAGTAAAGATGTTCTTATCACAGGGGTGCACCCTGGGCCAGGTTACGGACCTTCAGACTCCTAGCCTKATTTAGGCTGAGAGCTGCTCGACTCAGCCAGAGGCAGAAGCTGAGKAGCTGGGTGTCAGGGCCTGGGACAGCTTTGGGAAGGCAGGAAGCTCACAGTCCCTACACTGAATGGCAAAAATCTCACATCTSGAGCCGGGCTCCTTGATTTGACCAAGTTCAACTGCTGATGAGCCGCGAAGMCTTGTGGGCCCTCAGTGCTCACAAGCCCCAGTGTCCTTACCTGTCACCTGGGTGAGCCTGATGGTGCTTGGGTCAGGAAGGCATGTGGGGAGCAAATAAGGAGGCACCCATAAAACACCTGCAGTGGATGTCGGTGATTGTTAGTAGGAAACATCGAGAAAGGCTTCATGCTTCTCTGTGTGAAATGTTAACAAAACAGGGAACTGCTCATGGCAAGGTTCCTGTTCCTGCAGCAAGCTCAGGACTGTGGATCCAGGCTGAGAACCAATCAGAGTGGACAGGAGACATTCCAGTTCACCTTCTGTTATTGACCGACTTGCCTTCTCCCCCCACGGGCACCCCGGCACACATTGTCATACCCTTGAGGGTAGAAGTTGTGGCTCACTGATCTTTTTAACTTCATAAAAATGTCCTTTATAACTAAAAATGTTATAAACATAGTTCAAAGACCGAGTCCAAACAGGGAAAAACATCTGCAACCAAGTAAATGCCAAGAGGGGACATGGGACCATGTTTGTTGCATTGACTTGATTAGGCAGGTTCCGTTATTTTCATGGTAGGGCAGGATATTACCAAAGGATGAAAATTGGTAGCAATTGTGCCTGGAACACTCAATGTGGGGTGTTTTCCAAAGGTAGTGTCAGCCCACCGTGGGCCACCTGTCTGGCCTCCATGGCCTCTACTGCTCCTGCTAGTGATCATGGTGGCCAGCACAAAGTTGGCCACGTTGCCACTGAAGGGCACTCAGATCAACCACTGCCACTGCATCCATCCGAGGCATCCAATGGCACAACCATGAAAGCTATGTTTTATTATCGTATATTTCTGGGCCAACCAATTTTAGAGTATCTACACACCTTGAAAACATGGCCTGTTTGGCAAATTCTACTTCTTCTGGAGATACTGAAGTCATCTGGCCAGTGAGCGTTAACCGGACACATCGGGAATCTTCTGGGTCCACGATATTTTTCCTGCAGGTAAGGAATGTTTTTTCACATATTAAAACAATGACAGAGCCTATAATCCCTATGGCTTGAGAGTCTGAATCTATAAGTTCAAAGCCAGCCTCAGCAAAAAGGAGGTGCTAAGCAACTCAGTGAGACCCTGTCTCTAGATAAAATAGGGTGAGGATGTGGCTCAGTGGTCAAATACCCCTGAGTTCAAACCCTGCTACCAAGATGTTGAGAGTCACAGCTGAAGGGGCCCCAGCAAACTTCCAGCTGCAACTGATTGGCTCCTCTGCGGTGATGCTCATTGGGCTGTTTCCCTGCCCTTTCAGACCACAGAGCTGCTCATTGGGGGACTTTTTTGGCTCCGCCCACGCAACCCAGCCAATCAGCCTCAAGAGCAGGAGGAGTGGGGGAGGTTGAGAGGCTTGTGGGAAGCTGGTGGTGGCAGTTGGGCTCTGAGGGTTTTCCTGAAGAGCTGTGTGGTGCAGTGTGTGTGTTCTAAAAATAAAGTTTGTTTCTTTTGACAAGTGGCTCCTGAATTGTGCCCAGCCAGACTGCGGCATTTGGTGGCCCGTATGGGGATTGAACCCAAGACCTTGGCATTATCAGCACCAAGCTCTGACCAACTGAGCTAAAATAACAATGACAAAACATCAGTCTGAAACACTAGGGATTTTGTGAAAAATTTAAAGTGCTTGTCATATTTCTGAATATCTCATTCACATTTTTACTATAATTATCTTAAAATACTTTAGCATGGGCAGTATGATAGGTATGCTTTCATAAGTTGAGGGTTACAGTTGAGAGACTATTAGAAGTTTTTGAAGTCAAGGATGCATGTGCCAGGAGAAATGGGAATTTGTTACCAAAAGATGACATTTCAGTTACTGCTCTAATTTGTATCTGGAATGTCCYCCAAAGGCCCGTGTAATGAAGCCTTAGTGCCCAACTTGGCACTGTTGGGAGGTCGTGGAAACAGGAAGAGATGAGGCTTACTGAAAGGTCTTCTAGACGATAGTAATATGCCCTTGAAGGGGATGGTGGGGCCTTAGTCCCTCTTTTTTTTTTTTTTTTTTCTGTTTTCCTTGTAGCCAAGAGGTGATAAATTTTACTATGCTACATGCTTCCCACCATGACGTGCTGCTCTACCACAGGACCAAAAGCAATTGGGTCAACTGACCATGGACCAAGCCTCTGAAAACTGTGAGCCCAAAAAACCTTCTCTATAAGTTGATCATCTCAGGTATTTTGTTGCAGTAACAGAAAGCTAATTAACACAGTTACCTTAGAGGAATAAGTTCTAGGATCTTCTGTACAACGTCGTACCTAGAATTAACAATACAATATTGTCCCCCCTCCCTTGTTTGTTTTTTTTTTTTTTTTTTGTATTTGTGCTACAAAACCAAAACAAAACAAAGGGACACAAGAAAATTTGGGGAGGTGTTGAATGTGTCTATTCCTGGTATTTGCATATGTCTAAATTCATCAAATTGAACACTACAAGTATGTGCAATTCTTTAAATTAATTATACCTCAGTAAAACTTTTTAAAAATACACACACCATGCCTACTATCTACAAGACCCACTAAGGAGTCAGTTTCTGAAATAATACTGCCATCCTGCCCAACTCTTCTCAGCTTGTAGGTGACCATCTCTGTCTGTGTCTTTACTCGATCCTCCCCCTGTGCAGGTCTGTGTCCTAATTTCCTGTTCTCATAAGGACAGCAGCCATATGGGACCATTCTAAAGATGACATGTTAACTTAGTTACCCCTTTTAGGATTCTGTCTCCAAATAATCACATCCTGAGGTCCCAGAGGGTCCTCAACGTGTGAATTTGGGGTGGGACAATTAATTCCATTACAGCAATATAACTATTTTTATTCAAATGTTTTTGGTTTGACACTGATTTGGGAAGTTCACTGCGTGTACAGTGAGTGATGAAAAATGTACTAAGGGAAGCACTCAGGTTCAAACTCTAGACATTCGTGAAGCTCAATGAAAAAAAGCCTTAACTAAACACAAAACAAATGCTAGATTTAATACCTTTCTTTTTTAGATTTTTTTTAGCTTTTTTTTTTAGGTGGACACAATATCTTTATTTTTTATTTTTATGTGGTGTTGAGGATCGAACCCAGCGCCCCGCGCATGCCAGGCGAGTGCGCTACCGCTTGAGCCACATCCCCAGCCCTTCTTTTTTAGATTTTTAAAATTTTTTTTCTATTAAATTTTAAAGTATTTTAAGCTCATAAGAAAGTATGAAGAATAAAATAATTAAAACTGATGTTCCTGTTGGGGCTCAGAAAAGGATACCTGAAAGTGGAGAGGGCAGTTTCCTCCCTGACCCTCTCCTGCCCTCCTGCGGTGACCTGCATGGCTGTTAATTCAGAAGACTGTGAGGGGTGATGGGGAATCAAGAAAAACACGTAAGCACTTAGAAAGACAGGTGAGATCAGGTGGTACCATCCTCTGGTGGAGGAACAGTGACCCAGAGCTGGCTCCACACATTTATTATATAGGCTTTATCATCAAAAGACTATTTGTGGGCTGGGATGTAGCTCAGTGGCAAAGCATCTGCCTTGCATTCCCAAAGCTCTGGGTTTGACCCCCAGTTCCAAAAAAGACCAAAAAAAAAAAAAAATCCACCAAAAAAGAAATAAGATTAAAAAAAAAAAAAAGCTATTTGTGAGGAATTTTTCTAGAAAGCAGGCAGACTTGACGTTTACAGCACACATGATGGTTATCTTCTTAAGTTCAGAATCTTTTATTCCTAGGAGACAGTGTCTGCGACTCAAGGTTAAAACGGACGTCTCTGGGCGTTTGCCTGGAGAGACCAAGGGCCGGTGTGCCATATAGCAACTGGGGAATGTGAACCCTGTGCTTTTGCCCAGGGAAATGTTAACCCTACTCTTGTAATCCCAGGGCGATCACACCGCAACCACACGGTGATCAGACACCTTGATTCACATCACCACCTCCTGTTTTTCTCTCCTCCTTCTGCCCCAAGTCAAGCCACGGAAACCAGAATTCCTTATCCTCAAGGCAGGTCATAGAGACCAGAACCCCTTTTCCCCAAAGCTGACCATGGAACCTAAAAAGAGTACTCAAATTTCCCCTGCCTTTCTGTACAAGAGTTGCCTGTAAAGCAATTCTGTGACCCACCTTGTCTGAGAGTAGGTCATAAGACCCCCCCCCAGTTGGGAAGGGGTTCTGCCCTGTACCTGGGAGGAAGGAGGGCTGCAGAGGGTTGGGGAAAGTTTGAACAGGCAGGCCTCGCTGGGTTYCCCACTCTATTTCCATTAGCTTTTTATTCAACTTCTACCTGACTGTCCAGACTTTGTCCATCAGCCTAAGCATAAAAATGGGCAGTTCCTGAAGTCTCCATGCCACGTAAAACTATAATTAAATAAATTACTTATGCTTTCCTCTTTTTCACCTGTTATCACAGGGTGACACATCACCATAACTCTTCATTATTTTTGTATTTGGTGGTACTAAGGATTGAACCTAGGAGGTCTTCACCACCAAGCTATATTACCAGCCCTTTACAACTCTATTGCCCAGGCTGGCCTCCAATGTGTGATCCTCCTGCCTTAGCCTCCCAAATAGCCAAGATTATAGGAGTGMACCACAATACCTAGCACCATTACCCTTTATGCTGGACAGAAAAGGGATCACCCCTTTCCTTCCATACATACTGTAAACAAAGAAATAATAAATGAGGTTAAAATGAAGCAAAGGCACCCAACCCAGTGTTTTGAGCCTGGGCTTTTAACAAGTCCAACAGTTTGACAACCAACACAAATAAGGGTAGTGGTGAATTTTGGTAGTCCACTGGAGTGTCCAAGTCAGGAGGCAAAACTGTTCGCTCCAGTATTCCTCAAACCTTGTAAGAAAAATGTTCACTTTGGTGGATTTAGTTTCCTGACATGATCTCTGCATGACAACCTTCCTCCTGTCAGTAACTCTCAGACTCAGAGAAGACATGGCTSTCTCTTCTTTTAGGTCCTTCTGCAGCCATTTGGACTTATTTTGTCAATATCCATCATACAACTTTGTCACATCTCAATATTTTGTAACTTTTGCCCCAGATCCTTCTTTAAAGAATAAAGGACAACATATACAACTGAAACTCCCCACAATTCACCCAGATGCCCTTCAATTTCTTCCTTCTTTATTACTTTAAACTTGGTGGTTTTTTTTTTTTTTACACTCATGCATGCTTTTATAACTGTGGATGCACCACAAGCAACATCTTGTTGATTTGCATATTTAACCCTTAACATACATACATCACATGATACCTGTTCTGCTGCAACTTCCACGTTGGTTTACCAGCAYTAAGTTGCTATTCTGTCTGCCTTACTCTTCATTTTATTTCTCAATTGGCAAACTATAGCCTCTGGGCCACATTGGACTATCACCTGTTTTGTTCAGATTGAGAGGTAAGAATGGATTTTACATTTTTAAAAGGTTGGGGAAAAAAACATCAAAAGAAGAATACTTTATGACAGATGAGAGTTACAAGAAGTTCACCTTTTGGTATGCGGAAATGAAGTTTTATTGGATCACAACCACACACATCTGCTTCCATAGTGTGTACGGTCATGATACAGCCGCAGAGTTTTGTTCTGACAGAAACTGTGTGGCTTATAGCACTTTAAAAAAATTCTATTTGCTCCTTACAGGAAAAAAAAAAATCACTGCCAACTTCTGTTTTAGGTTGTGGTAAGGAAAGAGGGGGCGTTCCTTGGGCCCCTCCATGAAGATGAAATGCACGCATTCCCATAGTGTGTTAGAATAGTGCCTGCTGTGTAAGAACCCTGAAGGATGCTGCCACCATTTTGTTGTTCAGTTTTTATGTGGGAGTGGCTGGAGGGCCYGGGATTGTGCCCAAATTTGTGGTATGATCCATTATGAAAATATTGAAGACTGTAGGACTCATTTGTGTTCCTGCAAGATTCCAATATTAGTGACCTAACTTCCCATGTGWCTATATTTGGAGATAGGACCTTTAGTTA